GCGAGAGAATGGACCTGTCTTGAAAGAAGAATTTAAAGTTGGGAGAATGAACCCAGCTTGACTGAGACATGGGATTGAGATCCTTGATAGGTGCGGGAGAATGGACCTGACTTGATTGAAGAATTAAAGGCGCGGACCTTGACTGAATTTTTAAAAGTGCGGGTGAATGGACCCATCTTGACTGATTTTAAAGGCGCGGGAGAGTGGACCCGCCTTGACTGAATTTTTAAAGGTGCGGGTGATTGGACCCATCTTTGGCTAGAAATTAAAGGTGCAGGGGAATGGACCTGGCTTGGCATGAAATTTAAAGGTGCGGGGGAATGGACCCGCCTTGAGCTGATATTTAGAAGTGCGGGAGAATGGACCCGTCTTGGCTGAAAATTAAAAGTGCGGGAGATTGGACCCGTCTTGGCTAAAAATTAAAAGTGCGGGAGAATGGACTCGTCTTCGCAGAAAATTAAAGGCACAGGAGAGTGGACTCGTCTTTGCTGAAAATTAAAAGTGCGGGAGAATGGACCCGTCTCGACATATATTTAGAGGTGCGGGAGAATGGACCCGTCTTGAGCTGGAAATTAAAGGTGCGGGAGAGTGGACCTGACTTGGCATAAAATTAAAGGTGCGGACTTAGGATCCGACTTTGACAGAAATTTAAAGGTGCGGACTTAAACCCAGCTTAGCAAAAATTTAAAGGTACGGACTTAGGATCCGACTTGAGCTGGACAAATAAAGGGTATGGGTTTGGACCCTAAAAGTAAGGAAACGTGGTGATCATCATATAACAAACTCAGAAATAAACATGCACAGTAAACAAGCTGAAAAACAACCCTGTAAACATTAAACCATCATCTACTAACAGTGAGTTCTAGGTACTTTATCCAACCCAACTCTCAGAAAAATTAACTCATCACCACAGGTTGATGAGCATCAAAACAGTAGCAGAACTTAAAATTAAAAATAAAGAAAACAATAAATAATTCCTAAGGCAGCAGCGACATCATAAGATGTGCTCTGCACATACCTAAAAAAGAACGAAAAATAAAAGTTCCTAAAACAGTGAAGGAAAAATATTCAGAAGAAGCCGCCAAGTCTTTACCCGTTGCTTCTTTATATCTCCTCCTCCTTGCAAGCAGCAGCGACGTGAGCCCTTAGATCAGAATCCACGTGTCTCTCTCTTTTCATAACTTGATTAATCTTCCTTTGCATGTGCCTCACCAAGATATCAGCACCCTTAATCCGCTCCACACATGCTCGTCCTTCATACCGATGACAGCAGGGATTTTGTCTCTTTGCAAGTGTGGGTTGGTTCAGGTAGTGGATTTGGAATGGATCTTTGAGCAAGAGCAAAATAAAGGTAGGTTTTTTGGGTTGTGGGTTTAAGAGAATCAGAATGGAGGTTGGTTAAGGCTGTGGTCAGATGAGGGATTCAAATGGTGATGAGGGCTAGGGTTGATTGCTGAGATGTGTTTTTCCCCAATTTTTTTTTTTGACGCTGCCCACTTTTTCGTTCAGCTTTTTCTTTCTAATTGGCACTTGGGCCATTTTGTGCTTAAAATGAAATATCCAGCCCATTTGCATTTTTTTCTTCTTTGCTTTGAAAATTTGTTCTGAATGGGCCTGAAAGATAAAATACAGCCCATTAGTCTTTAACTCAACAAAATTTCAACTTAATGTAATTGGAGTCAGATTTAACACAAGGTATTATTTCTTTTAGCATTTTCAGATTAATAAACATGTGTTTTAAGTCACAATTCATGGACTTATCAAGCACTTTGCAGACGATCAAATAATTCAACCCTATAAATTACTCGCTCTGTAAATGGTGGTATTTTCTTCTTTGGAGAAGAGCATCCTTGGTTTTGATGGTTGGACTTAGGCAAATGATGATTGGGAAAGCGTTGATGGCTGGTCCAAGGTGGCTATTGGCTATGATGGCTTTGAGGGAGTGTAGGAGGGTAATTTGTATGGAATGGATAAGTGAATGACGCAATATGAGGCGTCATAGCTGGATAGGGTATATTGGAAAAGAGGTTGATGATTGTAGGATAATAATGTACGGTGAGTTTGATTAGAAAAAAGGTGGTGAGATATGGGGTTGAGAAGGATCTTGCCGCTCCACAAGCTTTAACTCTGGCCCTTTTAAATCAACGTGCCTTCTTCAGCTGCTTTAACATGTCCTCTATTCTTGCTTGTCTTTCCGTCATTTCATCCACTTCATGGCTCAAATCTTTTTTTTTTACCCGCTTCTTTGGATTCCATGTTTCAGAGTCGAGTTTGCAAGAGTTGTAAGATTTAATGGATTCAAACTTTTTTAGGAAAAATAACAGTTCAAAAACTTTCTCGACACACTTGTCATTGTACAATCATCGCTGGTTGCACAGGTTGAAATCTTTTTTTTTTTTTGTAATGATAAAAAAAATGCATGAATGGATTTCACTGGGTCACAAACCCATGAGGCGCAATACAGACATGATTACGACGCCTAGTATCAAAAGTGTAACAATACTTTGGCATGTCGTTCAAACTTTGGGAGGTGAAAGTGTATCAAAATGTTATAACATGAAAAAGAGAGAAAGAGATGGAAGGAGAGCATATGATCTTCTGTTGTCTTTGAAAGATTTAGCATTAGAATCTCATAGCAAGAAGTCTTGATCATTTGGAAACCCTCAAATTGGCACGCGATTAGTCGCACATCTAAGGGAGCATATACTCCTCAATAGATCGTACTCTGGGGCGATCATTCACTAGCAGTGCAATAATGTAGCATTCCGTTCAATGTAACTCTCAAAACATAGTTCAAGTTTCGATATATGATAGAAATGACTACATCGAAAACTTCTTTGGTGATTAGATTTCCACAATATCCCAAAAATTCAGACAACTTTGGAGGTAGTTGCAGCCAAAGATTCATGCTTATCTGATCATCCATCTTGTCATAATGATCGACAAATTCAGTAGCATCTTGTTGTAATACGTTAGACATCAATACAACTCTATCCTTCCATACATTTCTTTTGAAATCTGAATGGGCTTCTTGGGTCATTTGTTGAGTGATCTCATTCAAAGCCCCAATTGATTAAGGATTACATTGATCTTTATGGGTCTCTTTGGATGACTTGCACTGCTAGTGTTCTTCTTTAGGCTGCATCTTGTCATTTCTTGCTATGAGTGAAATGCTAAATCTTTCTTCCATTGATCAGATGAGGGAGACAAAATGTCAAAATGCGCAAATACATGCTTTGTTTCTTTCTCTCTTTTTTTGCTCTTTTGTTTCAATTTTTTTTTTAACTCTTTTTTTAATGATTTTTTTTAAAAAAAAATAATAATAATAGAAAAGAACGCAAAGAAATTTTCTCCCATTGACCTAAGAGTGGAACCTTATGATTTAGACTAAGGTATACTGAGGATTACTTACGACAGACTCGCGGAGAAGGTCATGCTTGATCATCAATTCCATCACTGACCTTGACGAACTGCAGCAGATAGTGGTTGAACAGCTGCCAGAGGATTTACTTGATACGAAAATGCAAGATGCCACAAATCGACCAAAGCCCTCTTCATGGTGATTGCTTGTCTTCTTACAATCCTAAACCATGAACAGTAGTCATTCAGAACTACATAACCCTCTGAAGCAAGTAGAGTAAATTTCGCGGAACTTGATTTTAGTCTTACAAATCCATTCAACAAAATTGGGTTACAGTAAAGATAGCACAGTAGGAAATTTATTAACTTATTATACAGTATAACAGACCCACTTTGTGACTCAACCCCAAGCTTACTCAAAAATCCATATGAATAAATAAAATCTGCTCGCTTCTTCACCATGAGACACAGCAGAAAGTGATACAGATTTTGATCATGACGACAACAGATTTCTTAAGAACTTCAATACAATTTATGGGAAAATCTCATACTCAGTGGGTAAAATAAGAAATTACAACAGTTATTAAAATAACAATCAAAATCAAAGTTGAATATATGTTCAAAAATAAAATAAATCACATGAAGAGCCAACCTAGAATTGCAATAAGGAGCCTTGAACTCAATGAAATGAAAACCTTTTACATCAAAGCCAGTTCCAAATAGGTCAACCCAATTGGAATGGCATGACTCTTGAAAATAGGTTTACATATCCTACAAATTTTTTAACTTAAGGTCTGCATGACAACATTCCCATAAATGTTTGTTTTATTTGTTTTTAGTCCGGGGAACAAAAATGGTTAGAAATAGCATTTGATAAATCTGTTTTTTTTTTTTGTTCCAGAGAAGGAACCGGTTAATCGGAAACACAAATTAACAGAAATAAGAAAAAAAAAATTGTTCCTTGAGACAATATTTTTTAAATACAGACATCTTAAAATATGTTATCAGCATAAATTACACACTATATTAAATACACACTCTCTCTCTAGGTATAAGAATAAGTTGATATTTTTTTTTTTGCCTAGAAACTCTTCCTAAGCCCAGAAATAAAAAAGAAAAATTATTTTTTCCAGAAACATTGTTAAAAAACAAAATAGTTGTCGTGCATACCCTTATGACACTAGGAATCATAAGCGTGCGTCACAATAACAACTGATAACCTGCCCATGCAGAATCTGGCGGTCCATCAGTCCTAGGTATATTCTAAAACACACCACTTCAAGTTAAACTCCACGATAATATTCCCTCATTTTACATACAAATTATGCATCAGTTTATCAAGTTATTAGTATAAATTAAATAAGGATAACTTCAATAAAAGATAGTCCACTAGCCCTTGACACCTGTTAAAATTAAATATATTCATAGCTTTTCATAAAGCCCACCAGCCCCCATCCAAAAAAGAACAACAACAACCAAAAACGGTTGGAAAAAAGATCAATTTAAACTGAACCTACTTTTGATATGCAACGGTGATCATGTTCTTTAAGGTGAGAGGATATGGACATGGATTACTTGACGCATTATGGAAATATTCTAGTATATATTACTAGGGACACATGAATTTAAGTGAGTACCTTTTAAAAGTATCTTGCTTCTTTCTGTACACATAATAGATGAACAAGATAACAACCAAGCATAATCTTCCCACTAGATATGACAAACTTGGCAGTGCCAAACTTCAAATTGATAGAATGGAAGCACCAGAAACATGTTTCTATTCGTTCAGACAGTTTTGGAACAGCTTCTTTGGATCTATACTTTTGATTGTCCCTATGTTTGCCTTTCAAGGCTTTAGCTGATCCTTCACACGCATTTAATTCTTTCAAAGAATAAGCTTCATTGTTATTGGTAGGTGACTGCGGAAAGGTAGTTTGAGACAAAATGGTATTTTTCAGAGAATGCATAGACTGTAACCTTCTCAGAATTCCCTACAAATTCAGTGGCATACAAAAAATTAATCAACGAATGGGAAAATCACACCTATGGACAAACATGCCAATATTTACAAAAAGAGGAATTTCCTTATTCAGTTACGGACCAGATAGTGAGCTAATTATGCTGTAGAGACTAGGGAGTCAGTTTTTATGTTGCGGAAAATGGTCATTATACTTATAGTGATTAATCTGCTAGGGACCAAGTTATACAAGTGAAATAACCACACTACACAACAAAATAATCACACTAGAGTTAGTTCACTTTTGTCTAGGCTATATGTTTCCTTGGCTGTTAGAAACTCAAAATAAATTCCTCCTTTTATGCATAGTAATCAAACCTACCTATTTACCATTATGATAAATTATATTTTACACAAATAATAAGCAATTTATCATAAAATGTGTACAATCCAAGAAATGACAGCTAACTCCAAAATAGTGTCATCTTAAACTAATAATCCAACATACAGATAAAACTTGTGAATCACAGGTCCTCTAATGGTGTTTCTCTCAAACACTTAAAACACACAAGGAGTTCTCTGAATATACCTCTTTGTATATCATTAACATTCAAGCCTTACATTCAAATGATTTACATGATACTATTTAAAAGCAATAGCAAATAACTAGAAATACTAATGACTATCTTAGGAAATCTAAACACATTAATGACTACTTCTTAGAAACTTTAAACTCATTAATTTCCACTAACAAATTCCTAAGAGATACACCTCTTCACCAAAAAACCTTTCATTTTCTATTTTCTTTTATTCAAATAAAGTTTAAAACCCAACAAAACTCCTCCTTAAACTTTAATATCTCTACCATCCTTCATTCCCATCTTCTTCTTGCAATTTTCAAACAACAACGTCGGCAGGGGCTTTGTAAAAATATCTCCAACTTGATCTCGGCTTGCAACATGAGTGAGATCCACTTTTCCTTCTTTGACTTGATCTCGGATGAAATGAAACCTGACATCAATATGCTTACTCCTCTCATGATTGACCGGGTTCTTTGCTAACTCGATCGCAGACTTGTTGTCAACTCGGATTTCGGTTGCGCCGACTTGCCCTTGCTCCAGCTTGCTTAGTAAATTCCTTAGCCATATTGCATGGCAAACACACCAAGATGCCGCAACATACTCGGCTTCACATGTAGACAGGGTCACAATGGGTTCCTTTTTTGATACCCACGTAAAAACCGTGTTTCCCATGAAAAACACAAAGCCAGCTGTGCTCTTTCTATCATCAACATCTCCGCACCAATCACTGTCTGAATAACCCGTCAACTTGTATTTGTCCGACTTCGAGTAATGAAGTCCTTGTGAGATTGTTCCCTTCACATATCTCAGAATTCTCTTAGCCGCCTTCCAGTGAGTGTACCCCGGGTCTTCCATAAATCGACTTATGATCCCAACACTCAGACACAGATCCGGCCTCGTACAAGTCAAGTACCTCAGACTTCCAACTAAACTCCGGTAGTAACTCGGATCAACTCTCTCTCCTCCATCATACTTCGAAAGTTTCAACCCGGGTTCCATTGGCGTTGAAACCGGGTTGCAGTCTGTCATTTTAAACTTCTCCAGAAGTCCTTTTGCATAGGCTTCCTGAGAGACGAAGATCCCAGATTTATCTTGTCTGACCTCCAGACCAAGAAAGTACCTCATCAGACCGAGATCCGTCATCTCGAACTCCTTTGTCATTTTCTTCTTAAAGTCTTGAATCATCCCTTCATCATTACCCAAGAAAATCAGATCATCAACATACAGAGCAACAAGTAGAATTTTACCTCCTTTCTTCTTCACATATAGTGCATGTTCATATGGACATTGTTCAAGTCCATCCTTCTTGAAGTAATTGTCAATTCTTGTGTTCCAGGCTCTTGGGGCCTGCTTCAATCCATACAAAGCTTTCTTCAGTCTCAACACTTTTCTTTCTTGTCCGGCTTTCATGAATCCTGGAGGTTGTTCCAGATATACCTCCTCCTCGAGTACTCCATTTAAGAATGCCGACTTCACATCCATCTGATAGATCGGCCATCCGAATTGGGCTGCTTGAGAGATCAACAGCCTGATTGTCTCCATTCTTGCTACGGGTGCGAACACATCGTCATAATCAATGCCAGCCTTCTGCCTATACCCTTTCGCCACTAGCCGGGCTTTGTATCTTTCGATCTCCCCCTTAGCGTTCATTTTCTTCTTGTAGACCCATTTCACACCAATGGGCCGACTTCCTCTGGGCAGCTCGGCTAACTCCCACGTCTTGTTCTTTTCTATCGCCTTTATTTCCTCCTCCATGGCTGATTGCCATTTCTCATCTCGGATTGCTTCTTCAAAGCTTACTTCTTCAGAATCAGCCAATAGACATATCAAGTGTGCTTCACTGGTGGAATCATACAAATCTTGTAGACTCCTCAATCTCGGTTGTCTCTGCTCTTCATCACTATCTGAGTCATTTGGATTCTCAGGAATCCGGGTCGAAGGTTGTCCAACTTCAATTGATTTTAGTCCGGGTTCCATATTGACCCCGGATGGACTACTCCAGTCCCATCCATCTTCCTCATTTACTTTTACATCTCGGCTCACCAACACCTTTTTATTGACGGGGTCCAGCAACTTGTACCCCTTCGTCTTCTCATCATAGCCAATAAACACATACTTCTTACTTTTATCTTCTAGCTTTGTCCTCAATTGATCTGGTATGTGTGCATACGCAACACTACCAAAAATCTTGAAATGAGCCACTGATGGCTTTAGACCACTCCATGCTTCTTGTGGAGTTTTATCATTCACACTTGAGTGCAGACATCGGTTTTGCACGTACACGGCACATTGCACGACTTCTCCCCAGAACTCCTTTGGCATGTTCTTCGTTTTTAGCATAGATCGGACCATATCCAGGATAGTCCGGTTCTTTCTCTCAGCTACTCCATTCTGCAGGGGCGAGTACGGAACGGTCAGGAACCGCCTTATCCCATGTTCTTCACAATACTTCTTGAAAGCTATTGACACGTACTCCCCACCTCGGTCTGAGCGGACCGACTTGATGTATCTTCCAGTACCATTCTCTATCATTGTTTTAAAACTCCTGAATGCCTCTAGCACCTCGGATTTTTCCTTCAAAAAATATACCCAAGTCTTTCGACTAAAGTCATCAATAAAAGTTACAAAATATTTCTTACCATTGAAGGACCCCGGAGTAATGGGTCCACACAGGTCGGTATGTATCAACTCCAGAGGCTGCCTAGCTCGGTATCTTTCCATCCTTTGGAACGGGCTTCTCGCATGTTTTCCCAATACGCAGTCCTCGCAAAATCTTCCTTCAGAATTAATCTTCGGTAGTCCCACTACCATGTCCTTCTTCATCATCTCGGTCAGACCACCATAATGAAGGTGTCCAAACCGTCTATGCCACAAGTCCATCTTATCTTCTACCCCGGCTTGCAGACAGCCGACCTCCATGCTCCTTAGACTCAGCTTGTACATTCTGTTCTTTTCCATCTGAACTCGGGCTATTAGACGCCCTTGTTTGTCTTTCAACAGTAGAACTCGGTCTGTCATTAGAACCGAGTAACCCTTCTCCATCAGCTGTCCAATGCTTAATATGTTACTTTTGAGCTCGGGCACGTAATACACGTCCCGGATTATACCAACTCGTCCATCCTTTTGCAAGAAACAGATCGTACCTCGGCCCTTTACTTCAATTTTGGACGCGTCTCCAAAAGAGACATGTCCGGCTTCCACCGTCTTCAACTCCTTAAACAAGTGTTTGTAACCACACATGTGATTACTGGCACCGGTATCCAAATACCACTCCGTCTCATTCTTTGAACTGGTTTCACCATGGGCTAGCATAAGAACTCCTCCATCTCCTTCTACGGCAAGGTTTGAAGCCTCGTCAACTCTTCTTTCATCTCGGCAATCCTTAGCGAAATGCCCAACTCGGCCACAGTTGTAACACTTGTCCGAGTTGCAATCTCTTGAGTAATGGCCATACTTGCCACACTTGTAACATTCCACATTTGTTTGATTTGACCACCGGCCTCTTCCACCTCGGCCACGTCCTCTTCCTCTCTGACTCGACTCAGCTCTTTATTCATTTCTCACCTCATGACCTCGGCCACGACCACCACGGCCATTTCCACGTCCTGCTCGTCCACGACCTCTACCTCGGACATTTTGAGAATAGAGCGCCTTCTCATCTTTAATGTTTGCTTTTGTCTGGAGTGCTTTCTCCAGCGACTCCTCCTTTTTCTTCTTCTTGCGCTGCTCATGCGCCTCAAGGGAACCTGCTAGCTCTTCAACAGAAAGCGTAGCCAAGTCCTTCGACTCCTCAATTGCACATACCACGTTTTTGAAGTCGTCTGTCAACGACCGGAGAATCTTTTCAACAACTCTAGTCTCAGATAATTCCTCACCATTCTGCTTTAACTGATTCACCACGGCTTGAACGCGGGTGATGAACTCGGATACACCCTCTGAATCTTTCATCTTCATGCCTTCCAACTCGCCACGTAGAGTTTGAAGTCGGACCTGCTTTACTCGGTCAGCACCTTTATAGACATTTTCAAAGATGTCCCATGCTTCCTTAGACGTCGTTGCTCCTGCTATCTTCTCAAATCCGGACTCGTCTACAGCTTGGAAAAGCGTGTATAAGGCTGACTTGTCCTTCGCACGCGTCTCTTTCAACGCCTTGGTTTGAGCTGCTGAGTATCCTGCGGTAGTTGCAGGTTCAGCAAAACCGTCATGAATAACATCCCAAGCATCCTGGGATCCGAGCAACGCCTTCATCTGGATACTCCAATTCACGTAATTCGCCTTTGTCAGGCGGGGCAACGACATACTGGAAGTGCTCACACTCTCCATAACTCAAGCTCTGATGCCAATTTGTGAATCACAGGTCCTCTAATGGTGTTTCTCTTAAACACTTAAAACACACAAGGAATTCTCTGAATATACCTCTTTGTATATCATTAACATTCAAGCCTTACATTCAAATGATTTACATGATACTATTTAAAAGCAATAGCAAATAACTAGAAATACTAATGACTAACTTAGGAAATCTAAACACATTAATGACTACTTCTTAGAAACTTTAAACTCATTAATGTCCACTAACAAATTCCTAAGAGACACACCTCTTCACCAAAAAACCTTTCATTTTCTATTTTCTTTTATTCAAATAAAGTTTAAAACCCAACAAAAACTTACAGCTGATTCCCTTTGAGCAAGATGGATAATTAAAATTCAGAGAATGCAGTCTACCATTTTATTTTACTGAAAACAGTAGTTAAAAGAAAAAGATAAACATGCATGAATAAAAAAGAGATATTGCTTACAGAAGATGACCATGCAGAACTTTCACTATAAAGCTTTGGGAGGCAAGGTAGAGAAGAGACCATTAATAATATTTCAAAGTAAAAGACTATATAGAAAAAAAGAATTATAGGGTCAGAATCCATGAGCTTACCCAGAGTACTCCATTATCATGCTTTAAGTTTTAAACTTTACATGCCCAAAATAATTTCTTTTAATAATCAACTCAATGAAATTTACTTTCATGATCACATCCATAAAGAACAACAACAAATAACAAAGAGAACATCAACATCAACATCAACATCAACAACACCTTTATCCCAAATTAATGGGGTCGGTGGTAGATGAACCCACATGAAAGATACAAAACGGTTGTTGTAAATAACAAAGAGAAAATTAAAAAAAAAAAAACTCTTAATACCAGTTGTTGAACCACTCCCCATCAAACCCTGACTAGCGAGGGTGGGTAAGGGCAATCCTTATACGCAGCCTTACCTTTGCTTATTTGCAAAGAGGTTGTTTCCTGGATTCGAACCAGTAACCTTTCAATCATAAAGGAGCAGTTTTATCACTGCTCCAGGCTCACTCTCTTAATACCAATTGTTGAAATTGGTATAAAACCACATGTATGCAGGGATCATTTTCAAGGATGTGCATAATGACAATTGACAACTTAATGCTCAGTTGCCACTCAACCACGTCATCCAGTTCAGTTAAATGAGTCATACACAGAAAACCCAGTTGATGCACTGTTCAAACAGTGCATGTCAGCTAGCAAATTGTGCAATTTCAATCAGCCAAAACCGCACTGTAACTCTGTTTCCCATTAGCAGTTCAAATGCCAAATTGCAAAAGCTTTAATCTAGATTCATATAATTACGTAAAATCTTAATCTGTAGAGAACACCCTTACCTGTCGGTTTTCCTCAGGCAATGAAGCATTCTCAACCCAGGAAATTGCAAGATCTACATCTTTTAGAACTGTAGCAAGAAGTGTTACGGCATAGACCTCAACAACTTCCAAATACATATCAATTCCAAGAACAAAGTGCCTTTCATGTCTACTTTCATGTCTACTTTCATGCTCTACATTTGCTTCTGCAATGACAGCACTATATTGTGCATCCCCACGAGTCCATCCGTTCAGAAACTCCTCAAGAAATTCTTGAACGCCAAAAACAGAACCTTCTGCTATTTGAAAACAGGCTCTGAACCAAAAGAGAAGCATGAACATAACTCTCCTCATCTATTGTCACTTTCCAAAACCGTGTTTGCAGACACAATTATATGGATAATATTAAAACAGCATGACCCTTGTCAGACTCTATAGCAAAGCCCAGACTCATACAGGCAAGCACAAAATGTAGAGCCCTGAATAAACTATCTAAGGTAAGTATCAAGATTCATTCAAGAATAGAATCACACATGACATAATGGTCTCCAAACTCTGTTAAATTGTTATTAATTGGAAGATCTTAAAGAAATCAAGATTAACAGATGCAATAAGAGTGAAGCTAAGCATAGCAATAGCATACCCAGTAAGAAGAACTCTGGAGGGAATAGCTTTTACTGAAATGAAATGAGGTCTGAGTTGATTAAGAATTTCTGGTGTCCTGCAGAAGACCACCCACAAATTCATGATTATTATTATAATTCAATTTTTAAATTTTAATTTTTAAGAAAAAAAGAAAGATACCTGCCAAGTTCCTTGAATGCCTGAACGAGCACCATAGCAGTTGATTCCAACATATCTTGAGTAGCATCATTATAATCATCACTCAAGCACTTCAAAATAGAGGAAGCTAATGATGTTGCTTCTTCGTACATGGAGCAAACAAGGTAGCTGCAATGCCCAACAAATCATCATAAGCAATAACAATAGCAATAGGTACCTTTTTGGAAATAATTACGCATTTATTACAGTTTTGAAAATAATTACGGATCTATTGTACAATATGACGCCTCATTTAGGCATCTCTCACCTGAGGGGAGACGCCCCAGCTAAGGTTAACAAGTGTCATTTTTTTTTCCAAAAAAAATAATAATTTAATAATAAAACTTCTGAAAGTCATAACTTTTGACTCAGGTATCCAATAATTTTTTTTGATTCCACATAACTTTTCGAGATCTACGCAATGTCATCTCATTTGATATATTTAATTACTCACAAACACAATTTGAATTTGCAAGAATGATATTATAAGAGCGGTTAAACCAAGAAGCTCTAAGTTCTGAGTTTGTAATTTAATATAAAAATATATATATAATTTTGATTTGTGATTTATTTATTTTTTATAATACTTTTTTTATTATAACAAAAAATTTATTTGTTATTTAAATTAAAATGAAAAATAAAAATTATTAATAATAAAGAAAACAAAATAAAGATTTGATTTTTGATTTAAACTAAAAATCAATTTCAAAAATACGTAGAAATAAAGAAAATAATTAAATAAATATTCTAAATCTCTAAGGAAGAAGGATATTATTTTTGAAATTAATGATTAATGCTATAAGCTTCTGGGTTATTATTTGTGGTCTGAAATTAATGATGGCTTATCAAATGTTTTTCAAAAATAAAATTACCTAAATTAGGCGTGATTGCCTCTTGATTGAAACCTAATTTAGACGTGATTGGTGACGTGTCAGGTGTTGACACGTGTCACATTTTTAAACTCAGAAGCCTCTGAGTTCTGCGTTTGTTATTTAATATAAAAAAAATAAATCAAGATTTGATGTGTGATTAATTTAAAAAATAAATTTTTTTTTTTTATTATAAAAAAAATTTGGTTTGTGATTTAAATTAAAAGTAACATTTATTATTAATAAGGAAAACAAAATAAAGATTTGATTTGTGATTTAAACTCAAAAATCAATTTGAAAAATCTTTATTAATAAAGGAAATAATTAAATAAATATTCTAAATCTCTAAGGAATAAAGATTACCTAATTTAAACTTAAATTATGTTTGTGAGAAATACGTATCTAATCTATCTGATTTGCAGTGAAAAAGAGATATAATAAAAGAGTGCGTCTAATTTAATTAAATTTTTGACAGAATTTAAATGGAATGATTTTGGACGGAAAATTCAATTTATGGTCGATAGTCCATTTCAACAAAGATCCGTCAAAACGTTCGACAATATTTTTTACGGACATTTTTTGGTTGGAAAAATATGTCAAAAATCAAGAGTTTTTTTTCAAGTAGTATATCCTAAACTCTTTTAACATACAATTTTAATATTATATGATATTTTTTAGATAATTTAATTCATTCTCACAATTACCACGTCCCATAATTGGATAATAGTTTACAATTTAATCTAGTATTTATTATTATTATTATTATTAATATTATTATTATTATTATTAAAAACTAAGTAATACATGAATAACCTATCTCAAAAAAATAATATAAAAAAATCGATTTAAGGCACGTAGAATCATGGTCAAAACCCAAAAGGTGAAACAACATCAAAGGTGAAGCTAAAGTTGCAATGTTCTATATACAACCACTTCTGAAGTGAAACCGCCATCGAATAGGTTTTGAACTGATTTAATAAAGGAAAATATTTTTCTTATGTTGTAGGAAAAAAAGTTATCTCATGTTATAGAAATAAAATTATAAGTGAGACCCACAGATAAGAAGAGAGAGAAAAAAGAATGATGGAACCCAATACCATTTTGTGTGTGTAGGAAAGTTGTTTATCTCATGTAAAATGAGATAAACAAAACCCTTTAATAAAAGGGTTTAAGTCTCTCATTTTACACTGAAACATCAAAAATTGGGTTGTTCTTTTTTTTTTTTGTTAAAGATGGTACACCACCGTAAATCAGGGCAAGTTTTCAAAGATACCCAGTAAAATGACAACTTTCTTTGTCAACGGCATTACAGAACAACGTAAAAAGACAGAAGAAGACACGACAAGAATATGCCCAACTCATGAGCCCGGCAGAGCAGTTCGAATACTTGAAGAAAACACCACCTATTGGGATGGAGTTGTGAAGGTGCCACATCAAGATAACGAAAGACATCTCTCTGGAAAGCAGAGAAGGGAAGACAGACTCCTAAGTCTGAGAATAAACATTTATATATATAAAAGAAGCCTTATCACCTTGGCTGGAAGGTAAGCATATCCTTTCATCTTCTCTGGGGACTTCAACCTGGAAAGAGTTATTGGTAGGGTCATCAGAGAGAAGCAAAGAGTTCAATGTTGATTGGAGTGAAGCAGGACCATCTTCGTAAAATGAATGAAGCCCTAAAGCTTCTTCATCTACCCACTCTAGGCCCGTAAGATTTGACGAGTGAGAGAAACGAGAAGCGAGCGCTAAGGACGATTTATCCCCATACGCCTTGAAGAAAAGGCACGATTAAACTTCAAGTCGAAGATGGATAAAAAGATAATGTAGAGTCGGGGGTTGATAAAGGGCCAATAGAAACCCTATTATGCCCAAAACACGATACAGAGGAAATTGGGGCTCTGAAACTATGGCTTAAACCTCTATCACATAACCTAAACTCTATTTTCATTGTGTCAAAGAAACTTAATCATTCAATAAAATCTCTTTCACTCAAGGTAACCCTTACTTGACGATGGTTATACATGAGGTTATTATTAACAGTAAGAAAGATACGAAAGACCGATACCAAAAATGTCGAAACAAAATGAACACGAAGACAGAATGTTACTTGGAAGTGTAGGTGGAAGATCTTATGGAAGATGATAAGCTTTGAGATGCTTGTTGAGATATGGGTAACGTTCCATGAGCTAAAGAAACGATGCAGAGGGAATAATGAAAGGAAGAAAAAACAAGAAAATGTGGCAAAAGGAAGAAGAAACGAAGATATGTAGTGGTTGGCATTTCAAATTTTGAAAGTATTGATGAAATTTTGCCTCGCGTGATTGTATGAATGTTGGTGTTTCGAATTTCGAAAGTGATGATGAGATTTTTCCTCGCGCCTCGAGAAAAGAGCTGTAACCTGCAGAGACATGACACAGGGTATGATGGCGCAGTCAGTATAAAAAATGAAGTGACGTGTGACAAGGCGAATTTCGAGCATAAGGAACATTTTAAAGGCCATCATCTCGGAGTATCTTTGCTCGCTACTCCGAGCCCGGGGCTTAATGTTTCGAGTTTAACCTGTTTTTCCTCTTGGGCTCTACAGATTACTTTCGTGACTTGCATAAGTAAACAAGGAAAACCAATAATATTTTAGTTTTTGGTGTATGCAAACTAATGAAGTTTAACTAGCTCTGTGTTATTTGATGATATTGAAGTGTGTTTTAGTTACGAATTTTGTTTTTTGCATTGTTCGTCTCTTTTATGCGAAAATATTGAGTATGTATGGTTTAAATGGGGCTTTTTGAACCTTTTGCCCCTCATTAATTATTAATAACCAATTTGCCCCTGATCCAGAACTATCCACCAACCTGCCCCCTTTTAGTCGACTACCTTGCTTTTTTAGTCGAGCAAGTGGTCAAATTCAGAAAGTGGACTACAGCAAATTTAATCGACTAAAAAATCATCTTAATCGACTACATTTTTGGGATATTTAGTCGACTAAATATCGACAGAAACCCTATATTTTCCATGTTTTCGGTCTCATTTCGATTGTTGTTGTTGTGTAAACCTAAATAGCTCCCTTTGTTCATGTGTAATCCTCTCAATCCGATTGTATTTCATCTCCCCATCTCTACAGACCTAATATTGTGAAATCATTGTCATTGCCCAATTCCAAACCCCTAAAATCCGAATCCAAACCCCCAATTTTAGAACCCTAGTCCCAATTTCGTGAGGAAGATGAGCACAAGTCCAAACATGTATGTGACAATGATCTACTATGATGGAAAGCATTATGAAGGCCCCAATGGTGTTCAATTTGAAGGAAAAACGAAAATGTTGAAAATCAAACGGGGCACTACATACAATGAGTTAAAGGGGAGAATTCAGCAAAAATTGGGTCTGCAAGGCAGCCAATGCGTTCAACGGATGATTTCCAGGGTAGAGACTACAGTTGGTAAGGATGCTATTTACTACATTGGTAACGATATATGTGATGATGAAGATGTCGAATGTGTCATAGATGCAATTGTTGACCGAAAATTTCAAAATTTTATTGAGATATATGTTGAATTAGATTGTGGTCAATCTTCATCTGCACCTATGCATACAAGAAGTGAATCGTATTTTGGTCATGAAGAAAGAGTAGTCGATTTATCTGCACCTGCACATGTCATAAGTCAAATAACACTGCGGGAAATAGATGAGGATGAACAGGATGCCGATATGGACAGCGATGAGGACGGTGAACCTGAGAGTGTTATTCCGCTAGGTGACACGTTAGATACTGACGTAGAGGGTGATTTCGACGCTGACACAAGCTCACCATCCCCGGGTTCGCAGGTTACGAGACCACTTCGTGTTGACCCTGTTAGCAGTGGTAAGATTTGTTTTTTAAAGATTTAATTTAGCAATTATTTTTTTTGTTATGAATGGTATTGACGGTGGCCTTATAATGCATCTGTAGGTTCTGAGGTCGAGCCATTTTGGAATGAAAGCTCACATTATTCCTTCATTAATTGGACCCACCCTAATGATGAGACAAAGATATTGTATGGTGACGATGATGATCACGGTGGTTGGCAACTAGGGGAACCTTTATATTTGTATCAGGAGTTTCGTAGCAAATCTGAAATGCAACATGCAGTCAAATTATATTGTATGAAGGCTCACCGTACTGCCGTTGTGGCAAAAAGTGATGACCATAGATTTGTGATGAAGTGTCGACACCATAATGATGGATGTCCCTGGTATGTGAGGGCATTGTTGCCGAAGAATGGAAATACTTGGGTGGTCAGTAAGTGGGTTAAAGAACACACCTGCCTAAACCAAGGTCTTACCCGGGATCATGGACAGTTGGATTCTGATGTGATATGTGCAACCATTATCAGTATGTATTATTCGATATATCTAACTTCCTAAGGTATGTTTACGTTAATCAGTTTGTACTCTTGCACTGCTCCAATAGACGCTTTCCGAACTTGCAATTATAGCTCGTGGTCTTCTTCAACAGCTCAGTCTCCATGGGAACACCAAAGTGAACCAATATCCTCTGTACCAGACAGGTGTATGGAAGATGACCCTTATGTTTGGCCTTAAACATAAACCAACAAATATAGTGCCTCCAGTTCACCATCTGGGCATGTCGGATAGCCCACATAATGGGAATGTCATGTTCCAACACCCTGGAATGATTAAAAGATCGCGGAAACAGAACGTGGGTGAGGACATAGTGTAGTATACGGGACTCCACAGAAAGCAACCCCACCGTATAGTGCAAGTGTTCCCCACGGACTCTTCTCTGCTCCTGCACGGCATCCTCTCGTACATATCCTGGAAGTACTACACCACTATCAGCGTCATACGCCACAGTCTGAGAAGAGTCAAAATCATAGCCAAGTATCTCCAACCATGCATGTGCCGTCATGACGATCTCTATTCCACAGACCCTCGACTTCAGCTCGCCCTGTACGTAGCTGAGGTTATGGTAGAAGGCCCGCACCATAAGCTCTGAATACGGACATAGGGTCTCGGCCAACACCCTCAGATGTGCCGCCTTCAACACCCCCACAATTTCAAATCCCTCCTTATCAAAAAAGGCTGTATCCAAAGATTTTGGAGCACATAACGGCCGGTTCAAATGGTCACGTACGAATGAAGCGTGGACGGCAGGGTCGTCCTCAAACAGATACCCATACGGGAGGTCAACAGTATCAGGCTCTTCGTCTTGTGGCCTTTATGAAGAAGGCCGCTCTTTCCTATGCTTGGTGCGTCTATCAAGTGACTCATTGCCCTCATCGCTTGGTCTTCTGCGGCCCGTCATTTGTTTAGGGTACCTACAATGAAACATGTCAGCATTTAACTATATGAAACATGTCATGATGGTAATGAAAACTTGCAACATAAGGGCTGTAAACCAAAAGCAAACTTTTGCCACATATAAACTTTTCAAACAAAAAAATTCACACAATGCAAAAAAATAAACCTTAGTAGATTAGGGTTACAAAACCTACAACAAACGCTTTGATTAGGGTTCACAAATTCGGATAGCAAACAAATAAAAAAATTCTAAAACCTAAAACACAATGCAAGTTAAGAAACCTTACCTATCCTTGAGATTTCACGATTTGGACCGTATTTTGGTGCAATCCACACGCCTGAGGGAAGGGTTTGGGGCGTTCTTCAGCTGCTCCTGCGGATTTGGGGTTTGGGCCGCCTCCTTAGTCGATTAGGTTTCCTACCCCCCCCTCTGCCGAATGGGGGGGTTTTTAAAAAATAAATCCGTCGATATTTAGTCGACTAAATATCGTTACTTAGTCGACTAAATATCCCAAAAATGTAGTAGATTAAGATTATTTTTTAGTCGACTAAATTTGTTGTAGTCCACTTTCTGAATTTTGACCATTTGCTCGACTAAAATAGCAAGGTAGTCGACTAAAAGGGGGCAGGTTGGTGGATAGTTCTGGATCAGGGG